ACAAGAGAACATGCAAGCACATTTTCAAAAGTGTAAAATTTTATATTTATTTATTTATTGTAAGGTTTTATTTTTATGGCTGAACTTAAGAAGGAAGATTTGAGTCTCTTTAGGGCCACTTTGCAATCTTACTGCTAGGCCAAACATTTTCTTTAATCATTAAGAAAACATTGATTAGTTACATAATGAGAGAACCTAATACAATAAGAATATAAAGTAGAAGATGGGGCTTTTGACTTTTGAGAAGTATACTACCCATTTGAAGGGAAAATACTTGAGGGAGGGAATAATGCCTGATTTTACTAATTTAATGGAGATAATTCAGTGCCTAATATATGTCAAGCCTGGTACCTCTTAGGTATTGTTCTCAGTATTCAGAACAGAGGCAGGCACATAGTAGAGACTCAAAAGAGTACCTGTAGGTTGCCTGGTAGACAAGAAATGTTTGGAAAACAAGTCTAAGACACCATATAACCATATGTGAGAATGTGTCCCACAGGCTGGATGGTCATTTAGAGTTCTTTAAAGTCCAGAAGACATCAAAGAGGGCTAAGGTTAATTTTAGAAGACTTCTTCACCTCACCCTGAATCTGTGGGGTCAGAGGAATAAGTCCTGGCTATGAGTTTATGATTAATCTAGGTTGCTCCAAAACGGTTTCCTTTGAAAACACTGGCTGTGTAGGGGGACCACAATGTCACCATAAGGAAGAGCACTGGATTAAGAATGTAGATACCTGAGTTTTATTTCTAGCCATATAATATGAAGTAAAGGCATAAAATGATTCATGCTCACTATACACACAGTCCTGCCTCTGGCCCGCTCCCTTACCCAAGCACCGTGTTACTATTACCAAACAAGCTCCCTAGTGACTCCTCCCAAATCTACTTTATTCTAGGATATGACACATTAAATGAGGATGCTGAAGGGTTTGGAGTGAAGAACCTTTAGAGTTGGGATGTTCTCATCCAGGTTCTAGGGACCTTCTCTTTCCACGTTGGCAATCTCAGAGCTTGTATGCAGAGGGCTGTAGACGCAGTTATCCAGAACTTTCCCTGAACCCTTTAAGTAAAGGAAATAAAGGCAGTTAAACTCAGTAAAGCACGGAATCCTTGTTTGTTTCCCTTCCTTCCTGCTGTATGCTCCGTGCCTTGCATGATGCTTGGCACCCTGTGGCCACTCAATGAATGAATGATAGGGAAAAGGGACATTTTAGGCAGAGGGAACATAGGCAGACAAGAAAAAGAGGTGACAAATTATGGGATGTGTATTTGTGTATGGGGAATTGTGGAGCTTAAGTAATGAGTATGTGAGAGCAACAGTGGAAAAAAATAGGATGAGGCTGCGCTGTGGAGGCTCTCAAATAGCAAGTTACAGAGTCTGGACTTTATAAGCAGTAGGAAGCCAGTGAAGATAACTGCTAAAGCAACGAGGCAAATTACCATTGTATTTGATAGAATTTATTCATGGCATGGGCGGCTTCCCTTGCCCTTCCTAACACACTTCCTGCCAAGCAATGGATAATAATCTACAAAGCATTTTATATGCTATACACCCAGTAAACTCACTGAGTATCTCATCTACAAATTTCTTTGGCTGAGATTGGAGGGTGGGGGGACCAAAGGGAGCCAATGCAGCAGGAAAAGTAACTTCAGCCAGGGACCTTTCACATTGTAAACTGAGCATCTGGGACATGGTAGCAACTTTAAGTTTCTCTGACCTTGCCTGAGCCTCAGCAGGAAGTCATAAATGCAAGCTCCTTCACCCTGTTTCCTCTGCCAGGGCCCAGGGGGTCTGCCTCATTACCATTTCTCCTCAGCTAGTTTCTCTTGCTCCATCCTTCCTAACACGGTCTTTCTGGGTTTCCAAGATGTCGCTATCTTGCACCTGTGCTTTACTTCTTCTAGGTGGGATTACTTGGACCACAGTGAGGGCGTCAGCAGTCAAGCCTCTTGGCAGAGCAGACCAAAGCATCACATTCTTTGCCTGGAACTATTTTTAGGCTTCCTTGAGGACTGGCAAGGACACAGTGACAGAATGAGAAAATCAAGGGAAAAGTCTTCGGGGATTGAATGTGAAAAACCTGTCCCAAATCCTGGAAGAATATGACATTTGCTGCTTTTTATTTCCATTTTTCTCTCATTTCTTCCCCTTCTGCTTCCCCCCATCTCTCTTTCTCCTTCGTAATGCACTTTACTCTCTACTTTGTTTCTTTCTTTTTTTTTTTTTACGTAACCTTAACATTTGTATACTCTCTACTTTCTCTTTCTCCTTCTTCTACTCTCATTCTTCACCACCACTCTCTTTGCTAGCAATGGCTGCCTTTTACTCAGTTCTTATATACTGTGCACTGTGCTAAATGTTTTTTATGTATCACCTCATAGCACTCTATGAGCTAAATAATACTATCTCCATTTGGCAGGTGAGGAAAGTGAAACACAGATCATTTATCTAAGCTCAGTAGATAAATTTGAACTTCTATTATCAAACTTCTGTGTCTGTCTTCTCCTAACCATTACATTGCCTCTTTTTGTCTCTTTCCAACTTCCCTGTCATTCCCCTTTTCTGCTCCTCTTCTCTCTTTCTATTCCTCCCCTTCTCTCCCTCCCTGTCTTTCAGACACTCACCATAGTCTGGTCACTGCTTGTGTGTGGCTGACCCCGAAAGTGCGGAACACTGTACATGTGCCCAGAAGAGATGACAGACCATTCAAACACTTATCTAATCAGCCATTTTCCTTTTGAGCAAACGCTCCACAATTTTCCACATTTGGAGGCTGAAAGAGGGGACCCTTCACCACCTTAGGAAAAGGGGCAGATGTCTGATCGCAAACCACAGGAAAGGCCTCAAGACCTGGATGGGTCTTTGATGTGGACAGGGGCAGAGATAAGACTCTTTCCGCTCACTCAGGGACTCCCTCACTCCCAGGGACTCTGCATATTCTAAAGTTTGGGGACCTGGGGGAAGAAGACAGGAAGAAGACAGAGCCAGGAGGTTGGTCTCTATCAAGGCAATAATCAACTCAGGATTCAAGGAAACCTGGATTATGAAATGTATCGTGCTCACCCTTTCTCCGTAAGCATAAAGAATGTTCCAACAAGAACAAGGAGCATGTTGGCAGTAAAGATAATGAAAGTCAAAGTTTGAACTTGACAACCTCTAAGATTCCATCCAAATCTGAGGGTTTATGATTCTAAGAAAGGAATATTTATGTTCAGTCCCTCCTATCTTTTTGTTATCCTGTTGATTAGGATTGGTTAGAGGCTTAAATCATAAGGACATTTATTGTTCACCAAGTAAGAATTCTGGAGGTCAGAGGCTCAAGGGTTGATTCAGAGGCCTCGGGGCACTGGTTGGCATTTCTGAGATTCTCTGGGCAGCTTTAGACTTCTTGGCTCACACAACCCTGTCCACAGGCAGGAAGTGTGGGGGTGAGGAGGACTGTGAGTGAGGCTCCCTCCATGTACTGGGGGATGGAAAACCTTTTCCAGAGCGCTGCCTCCACCTTACACTCTCCCCACACCTCACCAAAACTAACTGCAGTGGAGATGGAAAAAGTGGCATTTGGCTTTTCACCCTGCCAATAGGAGGCAGGCAAGGATCAGATAGGAAACATCAGTGCCTGCCACCCTCTCCTTCTTTCACTCAACTAAGATTTACTAAGCACCAACTCTGGGCCAGGCTCTGATGACACAGAGGAAAAGACAGTCTCTGTTTCTGAAGTGTCGCTCCTGGGAGAACACAGACAGGCAGAGGATTACAATATAAGGTGGCAAGTGATGGGAGAGCAGTGAGTGTCCCAGGGCCACCACAGGAGCTGAAGAGGCTCAGCCCGAGGGAGCAGAGAGAGCTGGAGGAAGCGATGACTAGGTTAAGTTTTGATAAGTAAATGGGATTCAGCTAGGGGTGTGGGGGGTGCAGAGCTGGAAGGAGGGCGTTTGGGAAGGGCGTTTGCCATGGCTAGATAAAGGGAACTCCTGGGGACAGGCAGGACATGAGGTGGAAGAAGCAGGCAGGGGCCAGAGGAGGGAAGATTTTGTATGAGGCATAAAGCTTTGGGACATTTATTCTGGACATAAGGGTGAGCAAGACTGTGTACCTCTGTACACAGAGCAGTCAGCAGCAGGGCAAGCTGAGCTGCACGGCTGGAATGGCTGTGCTGCCCTGAGGAGTGGGACCATCCACACTGCCTGCCACTTACGGCTGAGGGAAACTGAGTATTCATCTGTGATACCTTTAGCTGGTTGTGACCAGAGCACACTTTTTGTTCACTACCTCCCAGCATGGCCGGTCCATGCTGGATGCTTCTGCTCATCACAGAGTGATTCCTGAGTGGCCAAATTTGCTACTCTCATGCCAACTCCTTCCAACTCCATGTAGTTCTGCCCTCTGGAGCCATAAAAATTTCCTGTTTCATCTGAAAGCCATTCGAACGTATAGAATACTTGTAGTATGATTTTCAGCATATCATACACCTCATTTCATTTAATCCTCAAAATCTTCCTGTGTAGCTATTCCCATCTCCATTTGACAGATAAAACAGACTCAGGAAGGTAAATGCCCAGAGTCACATTTGCAGAATCCAGTCCTGTGTTCTTTCCGCTACTCCACGTGTTTCTCCAGGTGGGCCCCTGACTGCCTCAATCAGAACCACTTGGGCTGCTTGTTGCAAATCCAGACTCCTGGGGGCCACCCCAGACCTCCTTGGGGTAAGAGCACAAAATCCACATTGTAACACACAGCTCACTTGATTTCTAGGTCCATTAAAGTGTGAGAAACCATGCTCTAATCTTGCTAATACAACCACTTTGAATCATCTATCTTTTTATTGATGCCGGGAGTCAGGGGGGAGGAAGAGTTCTTACTGGGGTGCATTGACTTCTAAGTTGCACTTTCTTAAAAAAACACTTTGCTATGGATCAGTGGAATCTAAGGACACGATGGGACCGTCCAGACCTTTGCAGAATCATCCTCCTTTTCTCTCTTGCTCTCCTGTTTGCAGCAGTTTTGGCATCTGTCTCCTGGCTGAGCCACGATGGGCGACTGGAGCTTCCTGGGAGAGTTCCTGGAGGAAGTGCACAAGCATTCCACGGTGATTGGCAAGGTCTGGCTCACTGTCCTCTTCATATTCCGCATGCTCGTGCTGGGCACGGCTGCTGAGTCTTCCTGGGGGGATGAGCAGGCTGACTTCCAGTGTGATACAATACAGCCCGGCTGCGAGAATGTCTGCTATGACCAAGCCTTCCCCATCTCCCACATCCGCTACTGGGTGCTGCAGATCATCTTCGTGTCCACGCCCTCCCTGGTGTACATGGGCCACGCCATGCACACAGTGCGCATGCAGGAGAAACGGAAGCTACGTGAGGCTGAGAAGGCCAAAGATGTCCAGGGTGCTGGCTCTTACGAGTACCCGGTGGGAAAGGCAGAGCTGTCCTGCTGGGAGGAAGGGAATGGAAAGATTGTCCTCCAGGGCACTCTGCTCAACACCTATGTCTGCAGCATCCTAATCCGCACCACCATGGAGGTGGCCTTCATTGTGGGCCAGTATCTCCTCTACGGGATCTTCCTGAACACCCTGCATGTCTGCCGTAGGAGTCCCTGTCCCCACCCAGTCAACTGTTATGTGTCCCGGCCCACGGAGAAGAATGTCTTCATTGTTTTCATGCTGGCTGTGGCTGGACTGTCCCTCTTCCTTAGCCTTGCTGAACTCTACCACTTGGGGTGGAAGAAGATCAGACAGAGATTTGCCAAGTCACGACAGGGCATGGCTGAGTGCCAGCTTCCTGGTCCCTCTGCAGGCATGGTCCAGAGCTGCACACCACCCCCTGACTTCAACCGGTGCCTGCAGAATGGCCCCGGGGGAAAATTCTTCAATCCCTTCAGTAACAACATGGCCTCCCAGCAGAACACAGACAACCTGGCCACCGAGCAAGTGCGAGGCCAGGAGCAGATTCCTGGGGAGGGCTTCATCCACATTCACTACGGCCAGAAGCCTGAGGTGCCCAATGGAGCCTCACCAGGTCACTGCCTCCCCCATGGCTACCACAGTGACAAGCGTCGTCTTAGCAAGGCTAGCAGCAAGGCCAGGTCAGATGACCTATCAGTGTGACCCTTCAGCACTGGAAGCTCAGAGAGGGAAAGTGTGTCCCCTCTGACCCCATGCTTTCTCATTGTCATCACTGCTCTGCTCCTTTTGGGCCCCTGGTCTCAAGAGCATTGCTCATTAATTCCAGATAGTATAATGAGGGCTCTTTGAGTAAGTCAGAGACATGGCTACCCACTCAGGCTGCTGTCCCCTCCCCATCCTCTACCCAGTGTACGCAGTGAAGCCTTTCAGATTACTCATTGAATAGGGTAGAGTAAGGGAAGGGAACCATGGTAAAACCAGGGAGCCTGGAAGAGAGAGCCAGAGGGATAGAATGACTCTACATACCAGCAACAAACCAGATGGGTTCTCCAAGTTTCTGTCTTCCTTGATCTGATCACCGTCCCTCCCCCGAGGAAGAGCCCCAGATTCCCAGCCTATAGAGAGCACAAATCAAGGAACTTGCATTAGATGTGGTCTTGAATTGGTTGTCTGTATGGGCTGTTCCTTGGAATGGTGGTGATGTGGCCCCAGGCTGCCCTTGACTGCCCCTTCCTCTGCTCATTCTGAAAAAGGAATCTTGACCAACAGCCTCCACTTTACAAGTGCCTTGGTATGCACCTCTGGCAAATGTCTCACCTTGGTAATATTGTAGCCTTTTCTTCTGCCAGGGTGTACACCCAGTCCATGGAGATGTCAGCTCCTCTAGGGAGTCACTGTACACACAGACTTCAGTGGAATTCCTGCCACCACCTGTCATCCTGTGCCTCCTTTACAGTTCAATCTGATGATAGAAACCATCCCTTCCCTTCCTCCCTTGGCTGTACACCCAATGCTCCTCTAAAGACCTTATCTACAGGAATGCCCAAGAAGCCGTCGTCCTCTCTCAGATCCTGACCAGATCACCAGCCACTGAGGCCAGCGGAATTTCCCCTGGTCTTATTAAGACAGGGAGGGCATTGTGCTTCTCAGGTTCCCCTTGGGAAAAATAATTCTGCTGTGAAGATGAAAATAAAAAAGGAGAGAAAACACTGGAAAACTATTTTCCCCTCCTATTTATTTCCCTTGCTGACTGCCAACTTAAGAGTGCCAAGAGGAGGTGTGATGACAGCTATGGAGCCCCCAGATCTCTCTTTCTTTGGAGGCTGTAGCAGGGGCATGAAATATTAGGGGAATCTCCAGCTCTCTTGGCAGGCCCTTATTTAAAGAACACAGAGATTCCTATGTCTCCCTGATGCCTCCAATAAGACTGCCAAGTAGGGGCTTCAGAAAACCCCTGCCTTCCCCAGGGACTGGCCTGGTTTCCCTATTCACTGGATCTACAATGGGTGGCTGCCATTTTGGATGAAGGTAAAGGATGCTCAGAATTGGATACTGAGACAGAGAGATGATTACTTTTTAAAAAATGCATGCATGCGTGTATGTGTGTGTGTGTGTGTGTGTGTGTGTGTGTGTGTGTTGATAGGATGGGTGAAGGAGAGGAGAGTCCTGAAATCAGGACAAGAACCACAGAGAAACTATGTCTTCTTGCCCTCCTCTCCTGTTGCCTGGCAGAGGGGCTGAGCCTTACTGTCTTGGTGTTATCAGCCTAAATGGATAGGCATGAGGGGTCAGGACAAAAGAGGGTGAAAGCCCAGAAGGAGCCTCAGCCTGTTCCCCACCTGCCCATCTTGGAGCCCCTCTGCTGATATTTTGATGTCATTGGTGGGTGGAACGTAGGATGAGAGTAGATAAGTGGAGGAAAGTGACTGGGATCCCATTTAGGGAAGAACTACTGGTCATCTCAGATCCCTGGGTGGGGTGGAGGAGATAACTTTTACCTATTGGTTGGCACTGACATTAAGATTCTCTCTCCTTTTATCTCTGAAATGTTTTTGTTTATGAAATGAGTGTTTTTGAATCAGAAATTCTATGAAAGCAATCCTTGATGGTGAGGCTTTCAGGAAGGAAAAAGCAAGTAATACGTGTAATTTGTCTTAATAAAATCTGTCCCTACATCTATCTCTCTTTTGTGTCCCTTTCATACTCTGACTATAAGAGAAGGATGGCAGACTTGGACATGTGGAGAAAGTGGATCCCACCCATCAGTAAGTCAGTAATACAAAGAGATTTGGAGTCAGACATGCGAGGGTTAAAATTCTGGTTGCCGATTTACACCTGGACTCCAGCAAGCTAATTAATCTGTGAGCCTTGGTTTCCTCATCTATAAATTGGGCCTAGCGATATCTACATCATAGGGTTGTTAATTGAGGGTTGTTATGTCCCGACAGGGTACTTGGGACATAACAGTCAGTCATGAAATGGTAATTGTTGTTATTATTATCTTTATTATTTTTGTTATTTTGAATACACAGTATTTGGAAACCTGGGATGTTGAGGGATGATTATGAAATTCACAATCTACCTAAGGTGATCAAATTAACCTATATAATTATATTCTATAATAATTAGAACACAATTAAACAGGAATTCATTTATTATTGATTCTAAGAACCAAAAGGCTTTAAGAAGTGATACGTATGGGGAAAAAACCCAACAAACTACATAGAGAAGGGGAGACCTGACTTGGACCTTAAATAGTGGGAAGGCTTTAGAGAAGCAGAGACCCCCAAAATGACTCTGTGACAGGTGTTTTTATCTCCCTTTTTTAGAGATGTGGACTGTGGTGTCGGGGCATTTTCTCTCAGTGTGGGGGCTTTTCTGTTATCACTATTTTTCTCTTTTTGGGAGGAGAAATGATTCTTGCTCCAAACCAAGTGCCAAGGGACCAACCAGCCCTTCACCAACAAAGGGTGCCATTTCTGAGATAAAGAAACAAAGGCTAGGAAAGACAACCAGAAGTGTTGTCTTAACTACCAAGAAGTCTTGTTTATCAGGGCAGGAACGCTCTTTTAAAGAGGTCTTGTGAAGAGATCATAGAACACATCTTAAGACACCAGTGTTGAGACTTAGGAATTCACCTGGCATCTGTCCAAGGGTAAGGTGCTCAGTCCAGAGACGCCTGAGTAGTTCAAATAGAGAAAGCATCTGGGACCCATTTTTTTTTCTCTCCTAGAAAAAGAGCAGTCCATCTCGTAGTTTATAAACATAGCTATTAACATTTAACAGTTTATATTAAGCCCAGACTGCAAAAGCCAAGGGATTTATTTTATAGTGAGTTAGATTTCCTGTATCTTTACTTTCATTTTCTTTTCCTTCCCCATATCCTCCAAAGGTATCACTAAAGAGCATAAGCTGGTTGATAATACAGTGAAAACACTCCAAGTTGCAGGTTGCTTTCCTTAATTCCCTTCCTCCAGTGCCAGATAAGACTAGAGTTTCTACCACTCCTGTTCATTCCAATGGCTAAAGTCTGTAAGTGCTTACATGCTAATAATACTCCTGTGAAGAATCATAGTATGAATGAGTTTCATATTTTTTTCCTAACAGCATATTTTGATAGCAGAGAGAAAAACAAAAGAATAAGGGTAGTAGGTGCCTTGAAGTCATCTGGAAGGATTGCTTTCATGATGTGGAAATGAGGAAAACCCTGAGGCTGGAGGGTGCTGCTACAAATAAGCTGCCCACTCCCCAATCCTCAGTAGGTACTGCGATGCCCTGTAGGCAGTCCACGTATTGGCCTTTGACAATAAACAGGATTTTCAAATACTAGGCATGTAAATAGAATAGGATTAGAAGTTTTTCCCCTCTTTGGTAGCCTGATGGTCATCAGAGAAGGGTAGCGTCTATAGTTTTTATTATTATTTCTACTGGAAAAGAGAAAAACTTTCATTCAACAAATAATTATTGAACAGCTATTTGAGCTAGGTGTCTGTTAAGCCTTAGGAATTCAATTTTATAAACCACACATGGTTCATGCCTTTTGGAGCTTACAGTCTAGTGGGGAAGGCACTCTAACACAAGTAAGCCCACAAATAAAATAATTTCAAATTGTGGTAAGTGCCATGAAGGAAACAGACAGGGGACTAAAAAGGGTAGGGGAAGGGACCTTTTTCAGATAGGGCAAATAGAAAGTCCTTTCCCAGTAGGTGCTACAGTTTGGATATGGTTTGTAAATCGTATGTTGCTCTCCAGGGTTGGAGGCAGGGCCTGGTGGAATGTGTTTGGGTCATGGGGGAGGATCCCTCATAAATGGCTTAGTGCTATTCTCAATCTGAGTTCCCATTGAGAATTGGCTGTTGAAAAGAGCCTGGCACCTCCACCTTTCTCTCTTTTACTTCTTCTCTCTTTTCTTCTCACCATGGGATCTCTGCACACACCAGCTCCCCTTCCCCTTCTGCCATGAGTGGAAGTGGCCTGAGACCCTCACCAGAAGCAGGTGCTGTAAGCATGCTTCTTGTACAGTCTGAAGAACTGTGAGCCAAATAAACCTCTTTATAAATTACCCAGCCTCAAAGATTCCTTTGTAGCAACACAAAAATGGACAAAGACAGGAGGCAACATTGAAGCTGAGATCTCACAGCTTAGAAGCCAGTCACCGATGGGTAGGGGAAGAACCCAGGTGCAGAGAGGGATCCAAATTCCTTCCAGGAAACCCCAGAAGAAGCTGTTCCTTATCACGGTCCAACAGTTTTTAAAGACACAGAATTTAAGCAGCACCTAAAACAACACTGTTTGGCACCAACCGTTGCAAAACACATATACCTCTTTCTGCAAAAACCTCAAGGGACAAAAATCTTTTCACTCAAGGAAGCAGAAGGGGCATATAGATCTGGATTAAAATAACTAAATATTATACATTAAGTTCTAAAAAGCCCTATTTGATGTTGCAACTGTTAATACTATTTCTACCATTATAAATTCTTATAACACACTTGGGGCCTTTTAAACTAGGTCTATTCCCTGGAGTAGATATGGGGAGGGGTAGCAGGGGTGCTTGGGGACAGAGCTAGCTGTAGGCCCCAAAGGGAGTTCAGGCTAGCAGGCAGAGGCTATATCCAAAGAGGCTGGGAAAGAGCCAGTAGGGCATGGTACAGATAGCCTTGACATTAGAGAAGTCAAAACAGCAAGACATCAAGTACACAGAGAGGCTGGGAGTAGGGAAGGTGGAGAAGCACATTGGCAAGGAAGCCAAGCCCCAGCAGTTATGGAAGGCCCCAGGCAGGCAGGCTCTGTCTGGGACATGTCTCAGCTGGCAGTAGTAGTTGACATGTCTGATCTGGATTTGGAGCTGGACCTCTGGACTCAAGGAAAGGAGTCTGACATGAGCAAAGCAGAGCTTTATCCTAAGGGCTGGGTTTCTATGCTGGGTACCAGGGCAGAGTCTTGGATAGAGTACAAGGTGGGGTCCATACTCAGAATTACAGTGAGATGCAGATGAATAAGCTGGCGGATAACACTATTGCCAGCAATATATATGCTATTTATAGATATAGTAGCTTCAAGGCCTTAAGCCAAAGTAATGACCACTAGCAAGACTTACAAGCACTTTACCAAGCCATGACATTGGGTGGGGAGATGATTTTTGGGCATGGAACCTAATGCTTCTCTGAAATCGCTCCAAGTTGACACCTACCTCCTTCACCTACAGGTGAGGGCAGCACAGCCCTGGGGAGGTCATGGCTTTGAAACAAGACTTGAATCTCCTCAGTCCCTTCACCCTAGCTGAATTTTCCATTACCCTGATTCAAGGCCCTTATGGGACTGGGCACATTTACTTGCTAACAAAGGATTCCTCAGAGAGAAAGTGAGAACCATGCAGGAACCCTTTTGGGAGTGTTCCTTGTCCTGAGCTCAGCTGCCCGGCCAAGACTAAAGCCTCTCAGGCAGCAGCTGCTGTTCAACTGGCAGCAAGGATTCAGGGTAGGGTGGAAAGTTATTTTATGCCTTCCTGGGACTTTTCTTTCAATGGAGTAAAATATAACCAGGAGAAGTTTAAGCTTCACAAATATTTAAGGTAAAATTGCACATTTGGAAATCAATGTAAAAACCTATGTAGGGTATTGTTGGGTAGGGAAAGTCAATTTTAAAAACCTCACATATTACTTCCCCAGTGTAGGTTTTGGTCTGCTTTGTCAAAGATTAGATGGCTATATGAGGGTAGTTTTATATCTGGGTTCTCGGTTCTGTTCCATTGGTCTATATCTCTGTTTTTGTGCCAGTACTATACTATTTTAGTTGCTGTAGATCTTGTAGTATAGCTTGAAGTCCGGTAAATTGATGCCTGCCAATTTGTTCTTTTGCTTAAGATTACTTTTGCTATATGAGGTCTTCCTTCGTTCATACAAAGTGTAGAATTATTTTTTCTAGATCTGTGAAAAATGATGTTGGTATTTCAATAGGGAATGCATTGAATCTGTAGATCACTATCTGACTTGGGCAGGGCAAAAGCAATATATGTAACTTAAACATTTGTACCCCCGTAATACACTGAAATTAAAAAAAAAACTCCTCACATATTTTAGTAATAATAATGAAACATACTTTATTTTTTTTTTATTTGAGACAGAGTCTCACTCTGTTGCCCAGGCTAGAGTGCTGTGGTGTCAGCCTAGCTCACAGCAACCTCAAACTGCTGAGCTCAAGCAATCCTCCTGCCTCAGCCTCCCGAGTACCTGGGACTACAGGCATGTGCCACCATGCCCGGCTAATTTTTTCTATATATTTTTAGTTGGCCAATTAATTTCTTTCTATTAGTAGAGATGGGGTCTCGACTCTTGCTCAGGCTGGTTTTGAACTCCTGACCTTGAGCAACCCACCTGCCTTGGCCTACCAGAGTGCTAAGATTACAGGCATGAGCCACAGCACCCAGCCAGAACATACTTTTAACTGTTAAATGCTTACTGGTTTCTGGGCATTGTGCTAAGAGATTTTATGAATTAGCTTTTCATCCTTACAATAATCCTACAAGGTCATTTGATTCCACTTTACAGATAAGGAAACTTAGAAATATTCAGTAACTTGGATGGCTAGTAGGTAGTAGGACTGAGATTCTCTTGTCTCTCTGTCTGCATTATGTTTTTCTTAAGTACATGTCATATATTCTTAAGTAAAAAGTCAAG